ATAATTATGGGCTTAGACATCTTGGGAGAGAATGAAAAGCTCTTGGTATCCGACACTCTCCATCCTGATTGATTTATTTATTTTGATATCCGGTCAGCGGTTATCAAAAATAGGGAGAGAATATTATGTTATCATCCGGATATGTTTTATGATTGTTTGAGCTTGGATTTTTGAGACTTCGGAAGATGATGATTTATTTAGTGATGCGACGTGTCACTGATTTTTGGTCTTCACAGTTCAAATTTTTAGCTTCCCTAGATGTTTCCCGGATCCAGATTATTTACTATTCAGACTTTATCACATGATGTTTCATATTTTTAGCAGGTTATTCTTTTGAAGAATTTTGGGTGTATTATGATTCGAGAACTAGAGATGTTTTTCAGACTTCTTAAAGCCGAAGTGTTTTTCTGATTGGATCTTCAACTTGATCATTGGGGTTGTGATGACTTTGAAGACTTGGATCTTATTTTTCTGTCTCAAGAGTGATGACCTTGAAGCCGAAGACCTTTACTGATTAGAGATTCATGGCTAACATTAGAGATCACAGACACTTCAGAGTTTCAAAGACATTTCAACATTTGGTTCTTATTTACGTATCATTTTTATTACCGCATATGCTAGTTGGTTACTATGTATTTTTCAAGGTTGTAAAAATCGTTCGGCGGTAGCTCGGCGGTAGACTGACGATAAACGATTAATCGGACTAGGCGGGGATTAATCGGGGACCCTTAATTATTAACAAAAATTATTTAAAAAATGAATATTCCATAAAAAAATTAAGTATTTGAAAATTTAAAATTTTGAAAATTTAAAATTTTGAAAATTTTAGTTTAATATTTTAAAATTTGAAAGCATAAAAATTTGAAAATTTAAAATTTAGGTGTAATATTTGCAAATTAAATTTTTTTGAATTTTTTAAAAAATTCCTGCCTATGACCGCCGAGACCGCCAAGGACCGCCAAGCCCGACTTTGACCGATTTTGACCAATTTCCGCCAACCACCCTAATCGTAATCGGTTTAAGACCGTCAAGCGATTAATCGGCCGCCAAGGCCGATTTCTGCAACACTGGTATTTCTTCCTTTTATCATTGTATTTGTATCCTTCACCATTTGCGAGCATTTAGGGAGATATTGTTAGAGCATGGAAATGCTCTGCAAATTATGAGTGATAAGTTAGATTATTTTATTTACCTTTATTGTATTGTAAGTTATCTTTCACTATAAATAGAGAGATATGGTCATTATATTATGTGTGCACCATAATGTAGTCTTCTAGAGAGAGAGAGAGAGAGAGAGAGAGAGGATGAGGTCTCTCCCTATCCAAAGAGAACTTCATTGTAATATTTTTATCTCTTTCTTTCGATAAAATTATCAGATTACTCATCTCATTGTGTTCTTCATATTTTTATTATCGTTAAATCTCAAGATGATCTTATTCCGCACAGGTAGATCGTCAAAATGGTTTCTCTCATCACACCTATTCCACCTGTTCAACCTACACCACCTGTTATACTAGTCTCTCCAGTTCCTAGCTATCCGTTTGAAGAAAATCTTGATCCAGTATCTGCTGATTTCGTACTTCGTTTCCAATAAGAGTTTTCACTTCTATCTATGAAGTACAAAAGTCCTTGGAATCCCAATAAAAACCTTCCTAAAATAGGTTTCAAGCTCCTCACAAAGCAATCCTCAACCTTACCCTAAACCCAGTGAAAATCCACAGACATATCGACCTAACATTCTAAATCACTTCTCGGAACCCTAGGATGTTCCGAACTCAGCCAAACCAAATGTTATATGTCACAAATGTGGTCTCAAAACCCACTATGCTAAGGACTGTGTGGCTGAAGTTCCTCAAAAACCAAAGGTGAAAGACTCTGCTTACTATGCTCGTCAAGCACAAGAACTTACTGAAAGTGAAAAGTCATTTGTCACCACAGTTTCAAAAAATGTTGATGGGTACTGGTCATCTGGTGATGAGTAAGAAGGAAAATCAGGAAGAAACTTGTGTCTTATGGATAGACAATCCATTGAGTGTGATGAGGGGTTATTGGTCTTCTGGTTCGGAAGCTGATGATGAGGATGTTGAGCCACATTACTGCTACATGGCAACAAACGATACACCTGGCCGAAGCATTATCCAGTAGGTAAAATCTATTATTACTGATAATAATTTTGATTTATCTGTTTGTGAACCTTATCTAACTCAAATTCAACCAGATATGATAGTTATCCATAAAGCTTATGAGTCTGCCATAGAAGTTAGTGAGAAGTTAGATAGTGAGTTAACTAGACTTAGATTACGTTTTGAAGATCGCAAGCGTAAGATTGAATCATTAGAAAGAGAAATTGTAATGGCTAAGGATGAATGTATTATTTTGAATTACAAATGTGAAATCTCGATTAGTGAAAGAAATATCTTAGTTGCAGATAATAAACATCTTAATGCGAAAATTGATGCTCTGCATAACTCAATTGATATTCTTGAAGCTAATTAAAGAATGACACACAATTTTCGTCATCCCTGGTCCAAAGCACATGGTCTTGGAAGCGAGTTTCCCAAAAGGAAGTTCAAAACTTAACCTATATGAGAGACATTATGAACCACACTTATTCGGATACCCCTGTTTCGCCATTGACATCTATTCATAAGACTTCGGATAAATATCAGTCATTTATTCCTAAGTTCAAACCGATCACTATTACATGTCTTGATTCACTGCAATTTTTAGCTCTCATATCCCTAGACCTAAATCAGTCTTCAGAACCCATACCTAACACAGGTAGTACTGGAGTTTTCATTTCGATCTCTGGTCCTCCGAACAACTGTGTTGTCGAGGAAATAATTCTTGAGACAAATGGACATGACTCAAACCAATTCAATTCCTTTTGGGCGTCCTAAGATAGTGATATAGAACTTAAGAGTGATAATGAAACCTTTTCCGATTCCTGTGTCTCAAACTCAAATGTGGTTTCTAAATCAACTTTAGTGTCAATTAAACCTCGTTCAACAATTCATCAATTGGAAAAACTTCCAAGTCATCATATGACTCTCGAAAGAAACCTTGGCTGAACAAGAAGGATATTGTTCATCCAAGATCGAAGCTAGGAAAGCTCTTGAGAAAAAAACTAGGTCTAGATAATGCTCTTGATTTCTTGAGAAATCTTAGAAGAAAATGCCCCAAACAGTTAGTCCAGCTACTAGGAATCACAATACCTTCATGCCTATTAAGAACAGATTCTTAAGACACCATCTGTTCCTGTTAGCTTGGATGTTTGTAACACATTTTTCAATAGCTATGTGAAAAATATCACCGTTGAGACCTCATCCAAGAAAAATGACTCTCCTCGGAAAGTTTCTTCTTCTGTTTTTATTTCTACCTCGAATGGCATGATTTTTAAACCAAAACATTTTCCGAAATCAAATGTGCCTACGAATGCAATGAACAAAGGAAAAGAAGTTCGGAACACTGATGTCCAGAAACCTTCTAAAGGTTCAAAACAAAAATTTGGATGAAAAATTAAAAAATCAGAAAACTCAATTAAAACACCTCTGAACAAAGTTCCTCCAACATCTAGGAAAACTATTCCTCCGAGGACAATAGTGGCTAAACAACCAACAATTGAGTATTATTTATGGATAAATGAAAAAACTCTGACATTTTGCATTTTTCCCAAAGTATCTTGGAAAAAGCCTTCCGATATACCAGCAGTTAAGAAATCACAAACCAAGTCTAAAGCCCACGCCAAAAAAAATGTGAATGCAAAAGATCTGCGCGAACAAGCTTTGAGAACTCAAACCTTGAATCAACTTAAGTTCAATGTCTGCTAATAAAAAGAGATCCATTCTAGTTTGGTAAACCAGTCTAATCTCAGAATTAATATAATCAATAAAGTACTCAAAAGTATAAAATGATTGAGTATGAACAATGTAAAGTAAAATAAGAACAAGAAGAATGTATGAAAGAATGATTGATTGAATGATTCTTGATTGATATGAAAAAAGGTGTTTGTTTTCCACACATGATACATAAGAGACTACTCCTTAAATAGACTAGGAGAAACTAGAAGACAAATGATGAAAAGTAAGTGTGGACTGCTATACCTCTGAAGATCAACAGTCTGACACAACCGTTGTTGTTGATCTTGTCTATTGTACGATACAATAAGACAACGGGAACATAACAAAATAGTACTTGCCATAATAAATGCACATTACCGACTCAAAATCACTATAACAGTTATGATGCATCTCGGACTTGACTGTGACTTCGGAATGGTCTAGACTTCGGAAGTCATCACCTCGGAAATGCTTTACTTCGGATTGCTTAAGGATAACTTTTCAAGTTGCAACAAAACTATAAAAAATAAAATAAAATTTTTATTTTATCTTAAAACTATATCAATACGGATTGCTATTTATAGAGAATAAAAAATTATGAATTTTAATATATTTAAAACATTTTTTCGATAAAAAACACAATATATTATGGTAATGATTAACATAATTTAAGGAAACAGATTGGGTTTGAACATACATTTGTATCATTTGCTTATTTTTGCCGATACACACAAGTGTTTTACAACAAAATAACTACGTGGCTGAGATTGATTGCCTCATTCGTAACCTTTTTTTTCTCAATTGAACCATCATATATATATATATATATAGATATATATATATATATATATATTAGATATATAGATATATATATATATATATATATATATATAGAGGTAAAAGATCAAATAAGAACCTAAAAGATTAGGAACTAAACCACAAATATCTAACATTCAAACGCTTCATTAAATTACAAGAACTCTCTCAAAACTTTCTCAAACCCTCTCAATCAGCTACCTGTCGTCGCCACCTACCGCCACCACCTTCCGCCGTCACCTACCACCTTCACTCGTTGGAATATCACAAATTTGAAACCATAACACCACTACTATCGTGAATCGACGCCGTTGTCACTATCATTCGAGGCCAGATCTATTAGCTATGGCGACCAGCAAGGCCAGATCTACGATTTTTGGTCAACAACGAGACAAGAGAACAAGCTCCGGTTACCGATGTCGTCTATCATTGTTACCTCTGTTGCTCGTCTCTCCGGTGAAACTCCGTCAAGTATTTTCAAATCCCGTCTCATTCGATTTCACCAAGCGTCTAGCCAAAGTATTCCTTAGATACTTGATCTATTTGTATTTTAAGATTTATGTATAATATTATGTTGTAGTTCTACATTTTTACGAATTGGTTGCTTTAATTGTTCATTTTATTGTTTTTAATATCATGTATTAGTGTATTTTCGTTGAAAGATACCGACATTTGATTATTCAGATTGTTAATAGCAGTAATTAGGTTTTTGGAATTTAATGAATTTTAGGGCCGAATGGTATTTTGGAAATACAAAAAGAACCAAGAGTGTTCGCTAAAACGATGGTTAGTTTTTAATATAAATGAGTGATTTAAAAAGTCAATCGTATGACTCCCATGTCTTATGAGTTTTGAACTTATAATACATATTTTGGCTATTCATTAGTGTTTTTGAGAGTCAAGTGATTTGATCTAACACATTAGTTTGTTCTAAGAACTTGTTCTAAGAGTTCAAACTTTAAAGCATGTAAATAGAGCTTGGATGAAGTTACCGAAGGAACAATGTATTGTGCATAACTAGAACTAGTTATAACCAGTTAATTAGAGGTGTAATGTAATTGCTTTTTTTGCTCATTATAATGCAATCGGTAGTTATTTTTGTTATTAAGTTTTCTTTCTTTCTACTATTTACGTAGTTTTTTATTCCACAATAATTGTTCTTTCTTTTTCTATCTCTTTTCTTGTTGTATTTTGTCATGCTCATGTATGATACATTTGTTTTCTTTATACACATACTAAGAGAACCAAGAAGGCTGGAATTGTTGGCAAATACGGTATGAATAATGCTTGCTCTTCACATTTATATCTCTTTATTTAAAAAAACAGCCTTAAGATAAAGAAAAAAATAAGTGTAATGGTTTAACATTGAATATAAAGAGCCTAAAAACGCACTCCAGATCTAAATTAACCCATCCACAGGCTAATGTATACATTTAATTATTGGACTTTTTAGGTACCCGATATGGTGCTAGTTTTAGGAAGATCAAGAAGATGGAAGTTAGTCAGCACAGTAAATACTTATGTGAATTCTGTGGAAATGTACATCTTTTTGATCATGTGGCCAACTATATTAACGTAATTGTTTTTCTTGCTCATTATAAGGCTATCGGTAATTATTTTATTATTAAGTTTTCTTTCTTTCGATTTCATCTCCTCTCTCTGAAAGTTGTAAAAAGAAAAGATATGAAGTTAGATGATATTTTCAAACCAATATTTTGCAGTGGTGCCTGGAATTTCTTTCAATTCAAACTTTGAAGATAACGTTGGAGAAAAGGTACCGTATATCTACTGCCATATTTATATTTGTATTATATTCATGTGACTGGAAAAAAAAATAGCATGTCTTTCTATTCATAATATTGAAAGTATGTGGTACACTCTATTACACGATGGACATAAAATTAGGATACACGATGGACATAATAATTATTAATATTATTATATTATAAGTGGCATGTTTGATATTTAATATTATTATATTATAATACTAGGTGTGAGACCCGTGTATTACACGGACTGATTTAAAAAAAGATTAAACATTAAATTAAAGTGTAAACAGAAAATATTTTTTAATGTACAACTTTAAAATAAGAAATAAAGAAATGTATTTATTCCAATTTAATATCATATATATATGATATTTAATACTTTACATATATAAGTATATGATTTTAATTTTAAAAATTGAAACAGATCAAAAATTGACAAGTGGATAATATTTATTTCAAAAATACCACAAAATGACAAGTATCAAAACTAATGAGAGATTGACATGTGGCAAAAAACCTTCATTTATTAAGGAGGATTTTAAATTGCAAACAGTATTAATTAAACTGTGGATAGTGTAAATTAAATTGTACATGAGTGTGTGAACAAGTGTATTAAATTAAACTGTGAATACTATAAATTTGATATATTTATTTTACATAAGTTGTTTCATCTTAAAATATGAATGATAAATGTTTGAATGTGTTGTATGATATTTTGTGAATATTATAAATTAAACTGTGAATGAGTGTCTGGACATGTGTATTAAACTGTGAATATTGTAAATTTAATATGTGAATATTGTTTTTGTATACGTGTTTTTTTTTATTTGGTTAAAATATGACCACTGAATGTCTAAATGTGTTGTATATATATATATATATATATATATATATATATATATATATATATATATATATATTGTGAATAGTGTAAATTAAAATTTGAATGAGTGTCCTGAAATGCTCTATTAAACTGTGAATTTGTGTGGTGTATAAAAAGTGTTTGATGAAATAATTCAACAAAATCAAATATGTTTTTAAGATGTAAATATTATGAATGAGACTCCTAAATTGATTTATTAAGTTGTGAATTAAAGTCTTGAAATGTAAGTTTTAAGTTGAATATATAATTTTTGTGTATTAAACTTTGAAATATTATATTAAGTCATGAATTTTATGTATTAAAATGTGAATTGACCGTATTAAGAGTTTTAAGCTGATAATATGACTGTTAATGCATATTTTTTTATATTTAACATTGAATTTATTTTATTAATCTGTGAATTTTATGTATTAAGTTGTGTTTTTTTTTAAACTGTGAATTTACTGTATTAAGTTATGTATTTTCTTTTTAAATTGTGAATTGACTATATTCAGTATATTGAGCTGTGATTTTTGTGTTATAAATTGTGAATTGTGTGCATTAAGTTGTGTATTTTCTATTTAAATTGTGAATTGACTATGAATTTTTAATGAATTTTGTGTTAAATTATGAATAATTTTTGTATGAATGTTTGTATTAATTTCTTGTGAATATATTTATTTTTTTGTTGTACAAATATTTTAAGATGTATTAGTTTTTATAATCTTTTTGCATTTAACTCAAAATAAGTGAACTAATTTGTTTATTAAATTATGAATATGATATTTAAGTTGTCAATCAATGATTTTATATACATGTTTGATTTGGAAGGAATGATGATGGTGATGGTAGCACGAGTGGTTTATAGTGATGTGTGGTAGTTAATCGTGGTGGTGGTGGGAGAGTTTGAGTTTGACTACTTTAAATATAAGAATTAGTGTATAATGAACTGTATTAAGTTGTATATTATATATAAATTTTTTGATAAAATTTTAATGAATGTATACATGAAAATACTAAGTTGTGTATTAGTGAATTATTATGTTTATTAAACTGTGAATATTGTATTTTAAACAGTAATATTTCTTATACACGATATAGTTTTTTTTACGAAATCTACAATTTAGAAAAAAGAAAAATTGATTTTTTTCAAGACATAATTCTATATTTCCTTTTACAAAAAGTTTCTATTTTTGCTGGAAAAATAAAAAATATTTCTTTTATTAAACTGTCAATACAACCAAAAAAATATCATTTAATTTTGTGTTAGTCCGGCTGCGATAGGGCGACCTTCCGGTGGCGGTCCGACGATGTTCTGATGGCTACATGTGGTGGCCGTTTATAAAGGGGGGGGGGTGAAGAGTTTGATTTATTAAATATTAATGTTTGATTTGTCTAAAATACCTTTTTGAAAAGATTTTAAAATGGTTCTTAACCTTTTTGAGTTCTCATTTGAACCATTCCACACACACACACACACACACATATATATATATATATATATATATAATATATATATATATATATATATATATATATATGGTTAGGTTATAATGTGGATTACATCTATTGTGTGAATGTAGGGATGAATATGGACCAATGGTTTTGGTTATTTTATGAAATTGATTTACCAATATTATTAATTTAAAGAAAATAGAATATATGTCATTTAATTAAAAAGAAAGGGTAATATTGTACATTTGCATTATCTTCAAATTAGGAAACATGAGTTTAATTAATGAAAATTTTGGAATTTAAGGGATATTTGATTCTTTTTATTTTGAATTCTGATTTTTTTAATTAATTCAATTTTAATTTTAACGTTATTTTTAATTTTACCCAATTTTTTATTCTGCCAGAATGACTTTCTAACAGAATGACATTCTATGAGAATGTTAGAATACTAATTTTGCAGAATAACATTGCATTTGAATAACATATTATTTGAAAAGTTAAAATGTTAAATGTAAAAGATATATACTTGCAGAATCTGTTTACACTTTTATACGAATGAAAATAAAAATACATTTATAAAGTGAAATACATCAAATGAATAAAACATCTAAAAAATCTTGCAATTCTTGAAGAATCTCCATCTGCTCTTGGTTTGTTTCAAGTATTTATGTAATGTAACACGTAAAAAAGATTTATTTTTTAAATAATACCTTGTCATTGACCTGCAGACCTGCAAACAGAATAATAGGCATTCTGTGAGAATCTGAGTATTACATAAAACACATGTTCTTGATATAATATTATGTTAAAATTTAAAACAAATAAGATTTCTATTAACATCTTTAGTTAATGCCCAGGCGAGTAATTTACTTCCCAATCCAACAAAGACGAAATTGCTCAGATTTATAACAGTCAACTAACACAATAATTTATTGAGAGCCATTGCCATAAACACCAACAAGTAGCCTTGAACAGTTCAAGGGATGCTAAAATGTAAACACATAGATAAATAAGTTCTGAAAAAGCAAGGGAGAGACATACCGTAATTGATACAACATGAGGAGACTCGTAGTCAGAATGGGGAAATAATACGACATCGATGGCTATAAGGAAATGAATTCCACGATGACGTTTTAGTATCGACAAATGGGTTTTTCACAACAGATTTTCATTAGGTTGGAGAGAATGCTTATTGCTTTGTTGTGTGGTTCACGGATCAACCCACGACTAAGGGTCCCACAGTGGTCTGGATGGCTAACCGAGATGCACCTGTTATATTATTTAAAGATGACAATCTTGCTTTAACAGATGCTGAGCAATACATTATTTGGTCAACCCACACAAAATCAACCTCTTCTAACTCGTTGCAATTGCAACTGCAGGACACAGGTAACCTTCTTCTCTTTGAATGAGAACAATCTCTTTGGCAAAGCTTTGATTATCCAATAGATACCCTTATTCACACGATGCAGATAGGAGATGCATTTGCTTACATGGGTACAAAATGGTGAATTCTGAAGATTTTGACCTGATTCCCTTAGTATTAATGGGAAAAATCAAGAACCGGTTCTTCAATTTAGAAGAAAACTAATTAAGAAATTTTCAAAATTAGGGATTTCAGTAAAACAAAAGTTAACAATTAGGGATATGCGGTTTTTTCTTACTTGGTTGAATCAGAAAACGCAAGCACTGAAGATGAATATATCCTCTTTATCTTTTCGATTTTCAGGTGGGTTCTGAAGGTAGATATGCTGCGAATATGGTGGAAGCGATCCCTATAATTTTGTTGTTAGTTGATTCAATGCACCTGGTAAACAATCAAAGAAGGTCGTGGATGCGATGATTATTACAGTGCTTCCTTCTTTCTGCCATCATCGACACGGAGAAGAGATGTGGGAGATGATCAATGAAGAGGGTAAGAGGGGGTTGGATAATGACGGTGGTGATGCAACCAAGATATGCATCACAGTGGGATTAATGTGATTTTAACGGTAACTTACCCATTATTTTAGGGATTTTTCATATATATATATATATATATATATATATATATATATATATGTGTGTGTGTGTGTGTGTGTGTGTTTACTTTTAGATACTAATTAATATATACAAGCAATATTACTAATATACCCTTATTGATTTAATTAATAATTTAATTTTTGTTAAATTCTGATTGGTTCCTACGTCCACATAATACATGTTCATCCACATATGAACCTAGCTTTTCTCTCTCTCTCTCTCTCTCTCTCTATATATATATAATATATAGATATAATATATATATATATATATAATATATATATATATATATATAATATATATATCAACCATATCAGACATGCCAATGTATTTGTCTATAAAGTCTTTTATATATATATGATAAAACTGCAAAAATGGTCCCTGTGGTATGTATTTTTTCTGGGTTTTAGTCCAAACCTCGACTTTTTTGGTTTCGTGATCCTTTTGAGCATGTTTGTATGTGAAAAAGGTCCCCCCGACTTAACATCCGTTAGATTGTTGCTGTTAACCCCCTCACGTGCTCCCCACGTGAGGGCAAATCCGTATTTTCGTATTTGGGGGACCATTTTTGCAAAGAATTTTTTTTTGTATATCCCCTTTACTAACATGTTGAATTCGATGATGGGGGAGATTCAAGATTGTGTATAGAAGGACTCCTGATCGGTGTAAATGCAAAAGGAAAAACCTCATTAATCGGTATAAGGTACAATAAGCTATTCTCGATTTCCCTGATACAAATCTTTCAAATTACTTGTTGTTATTGGAACTGATCTTAAGAACCCTAATTAGAGATGTGTTTAGATGTTCGATTTCAAATTTTATGGTCTAAATTTCAAATCTTGAATCAGGGATAGGAGACATCGGATCGAGAAAACACCTGATCATTCCCGTTCTTCGATGATCTGAATGCACTATTCAAAGAAAGATCAAATAAAAGACCACAAAAGCCTTTCGATCAGCAATGATTCTTTGATTTTTTCCTGAATGCACTATTCAAGCTTATATTTGATTCGTTCCTCGACATTGGCCAACATGACTATCCTTTTAGATCCTTTAATGGTGAGACGACGAGGGTCCTTTTGTTTGCTAAGTTTCTCTTGTGCTTCTCTTTCTTTCTTTAGGAAATACAAAGTGATGATATTTAGGAAATACAGGTGGAATCAATAATGTGATAACAATAATCTATACCCAAATCTCATCCATCATCGAATTTAACATGTTAAATATACAATTTTTTTTTCTTTGCAAAAATGGTCCCCCAAATGCGAAAAGACGGATTTGCTCTATTGTGGGGGGCACATGAGATGGTTAACAGTACCCATCTAACGGATGTTAAGTCAGAGGACCTTTTCCACATACAAACATGCTCGAAAGGACCACAAAGTCAAAAAAGTCGGGGTTTGGACTAAACCCAAAAAACATGCATACCACAGGGACCATTTTTGCAGTTTTCTCTCTCTCTCTCTCTCTCTCT